AATAAGTTCGAGTTAGCCACCTAGAATGTGAGAGTTTCAAGTGCAGAAACTCCCCACTAATAAGCATTGAACAATGATGACAAGCAGCTGCTTAAAAAAAAGTAAGGCTTCTGCGTGAATGAATTAGGGTACACATTTTTATTTTAATCATAAATAATTATGAACAACAATAGTTATTTGAACTATTCTGTAGTTAAACATAATAAATGAAATGTGAAGGAGAAAAACATTGTGTGTCGTCGAAAAGACTTCAAATATGGTAATTAATAGGTGCAAATTGAATAAAGATATCTTTTTTTGGAGGGATTTATGGGAAATATGATAGTTTGGTTAGGAGTGAACTCCAAAGTTTGGATGTTAATTTTATTTTTTGCGTATTTCGCTATATATCTCAAGAATTTTTTAATTGATTTAAAACATTTTTGCACTCAATTATAAAATTCATTTATCCAAAGATAATTACGTGCAAAAAATAACTATTAATAAATATTTATTACTTTTTATTATTTTATTTAAGATTGATCGAAAAATCTTTGAATTGTAAAGCATAAAATCTTTTACATCATTTTAAATTAGTGTATTTTTGCGTAGCAAAATACAAAATTTGAGCGAAATCGGTCGAATAGTTCATGAGAAATTGAATTTCACAAAAGTCAGATGCTTAAAATTCGATTTCTCAGGAGCTATTCGACAGATTTAAGAGTCAAATCTAGAAATTTTGCTGCAAGATTTTAAATATTAGTTTTGTTAAGAATTAATTCACTTGTCTAAATTTGCTTTGCTAAGATTTCAAAATTAATAACCAAAAAATCATTATTAAATCTAAGAAAGGAGGAATTTGTAGGAAGATTACCAAATGGCTAACAAATTCTTGAAGAAAAATATTGCAAGTATTAGTGCTAAAATTATTGCCCATTAATTTGTTGAAAAACAGAGTTTAGAATATGATAGTTATAGAATAGAATAGATAGAATATGATTGTTAACACGCAGAGATAGGTTAATATGAAGAAGAAAGCTTTCCTCACATTAAATAGGCTATGAATTGTGTGTAAGAAGGTGAATTTTATTAGTTGGAAGGGAAGTTTTCAAAACAGTTTCGAAAATCAATTTTATTTAAGGAGACTTGTGTAACATTATTTTGGTATTTCAATTTAGGTAATTACTATTTTTAGTATGTTTGCTAATTTGATAGTATACACTTTTAAGAATATTTTCAAAGTAAATCCCAATTTGTTACAGTACTAATAAATATCACTAGTACTTCATAGATACCACAAGTAACCAGTACTAGTTACTAATAGATCTCAATTTTGTCCGAGTTTTATACAATTTTGGATAATTTCAAGTCTTTTATAGTAATTTTATTAATAATACTATCACTGCTAGTGTTAAGTTTTTTCTATTTTATACTCTTCATCAGAAAGAAGTTGTTTGTAAAAAATTTTCAAATAGTAAAATTATTACTAGTTTTATCTAGTGGTACTAAAATTGCTTTGAATTTTTTTTTTCTTATTTCAGTTCAAATCTTTATAAAAAATAATTTTATTTCTTTTCATATTAATTTTAAAATCATTAATGATTTTTTCTCTCCATTCATAAAAATCTTCAATCGGAAAAATATGTTTGTGTGATAATTTTAATTAAAATACAAATAACCTTATTTTTGGAAGTAGGAAATGATGGTCGAAACCTGAAGACATAAATTTTTTAATTATTTATGAAATATCCGGTAACAGCATGATTATGGAAGGTATAAAGTAGTGCTCTTATATCCATGTCATTTACAAAGATAGTTCAAATTATGTGGAGCTAAACACCGAAGTTCTAAAAATTTTGTTATATCTAAAAGCAGGTTGGCAGGTTAGCTGAATAAGTAAAGTGATTTTATTTTTATTAAGAATAATTCTGGAATCAAGTTTATTAAAAATTTTATTTGTAAAATCTAAAACTAAAAAATATGGTATAGGTAAATCCTTGCATTTATAATTATTTCTATGCAAATATTTCTATAGATTTAAAAGTTGGAACTATCCTTTGAATTAAGTTTTATTTGACCTAATTTCGAAAAAAAAAATTTAAAAGTTTTTTTTGAATTAAAGTTTAATCTCTAGAATCTTAGTTTCGATAGATTTAATTACATTAGAATGATCATTGATTAGGATGATCTATTGATACATTTATTTATAAAATCTTTTAAGTCATGTTTAATTTTATTTTTGGTTTTTCTCCTGTCCGCCCCTATTATTATTGTTATTTTTAAAAAGTTTAAAAACATTATTTATATATACAAGGAGCCAGTCAATAAGAATTTTCTTTGATAAATAATTTTGTAATTATATTTCATCAAGAGTATAATAAATTTTTGTAAGTTAACTTGATTGTTTTAAAGAGAAATTTGATAGTTGTCCAAATGCAAAAGATAATATGTGCGTGATGATTAAGTGAACATGTATGATAAAGTGAACGCTCAGTTGATTATTAATATATTTGAACATTTTAGTAAAATACTGTTTCATTTAAATAATATTTTTAAATTACTGGTATTTTGAATATAAATAGTTGAAATTTATTTAGCTTTTAATGAAGACGACAAAGAGTTATTTTATTTTATAACCGTCATTGAGCAGCCGACCCAATTTTGGGTCTACGACTACTAATGTTCAGTAGCCTTGTCATTTTGAACCAATCCAGAAGACGAGGAAACTCATGGATCCCCCAGAGGTATGATTTGTTATGGGAACATGGAGGAAATTCGTCTTCGGCCAGCGAGGATCAAACCCTCTTGTACATGGGCCCTTACCCTGACAAAGGGTTATTGAGAATTAAGGAACAAATGTATGGCCAGTAGCCAAATGCTCAAAAGGATCGCAATTGCTACTTTAAAAACGTATGAGACATCAGATGAAGGTAGATCGACAAAGCGTCATCTAATAGTGAAAAAGAATCATGTAATGGACCTGTATTTGATACATTATAGATAGTTGCAAAATTATGTGCATTAATATGGATCACAAAACTTTGAAAGCAATTTACTCGAAATTATGCTTCTCTTACTTTCCCTAACTGGAGCAATTTTCAAGTGATTTACTTTAAATTTTGACGTTCATAATAAATATAGTTTTCATTGCATTTTGTAATTAAGTTAACTGGTTTTGAGTATTCACAAGAATGTAACTAATTTTATTTCTTTTTTAAAGGTTTCTACTGTTTTTGCTCTTTAAAATGGTATCAAACATTGTGCTTTTAAAATTGACTTTTGTTTTGGTCAACTTGATTTAGAACTAGCTTTACTATCGAGATTTATAATTAATTTAAATAAATATAAATTACCGGATAATCGTTCTGTTAAGTGTGAGATTACTCATTATTAAATACTATATATAATTAAATACTCATTTCTTATCTTAATTGTTAATATACTACCATTTATAATACGGAAGAAATCTGAAACTTGGTTTTTTGCTATGTAAGCATTAATAAGCCAACAATATTCCAATTGTTTAAAAAAAAACTATTTCAAAGACAAGCGATGTACTACTTATATTTGTGTAGCAGAAAAATTATTTATTTATTAAATCAAATTTGGTTTTAATTTTATAAAAAGTAATTTGACAAATCAATATTAAACGTCAGTTGAAAGGCGTTTGATAGCTGTGAAGCATTTTAATGCATCTATTTTAGAAAAAATGAATAAAACTCCATTCATAATCAATATTTTAATTAAAAACGAAATAAGTCAAATCATTGGATTGCCACAGTACAAAAATATATCGAATTTAATAAATAAAGTGTAGAAAATTTCAAAAAAAATGAAACGTTGATGTATCTAATTTTGTAAATGAATGCTCAAATAAGAGATGTTATAATCCAAGTTATTCAATCTTAAAAATCTCATAGTGGTAAAAAAGAAAATTCCTACTAAAATTAACAATAAGCATTAAATTTGTTTAAGAAACGTTCTAAATGTTCACACTAACCCCGTGTTTTCATTTGTTCTTATAAACCCATTATTCGTTTATGAAAGACTATTAAAATATATAATTACGATATTTATTAATAATATTATATCTCCTATTGTTATAAAAGCTCAATAAAAAAAGTTTGCATTAAATCAAGAAATTACTTTTCCACCCCATAAGCCATGTTTTTTTTAAATTTGACACTTAACTGTTTCTGGTGTCTTGTAATTCTTTATGAAACTGTAACACATTTCTGACAATCTGCCAAAATTCACAGAGAATTTTTGAGTAATAAATAACAGAAATATTCGATTCGTCTCTCTTAGTCCCATGTCCTAGTCTCCTTCCGCTAAATATTTATTATTAGTGTTATTTATTTTTTATTTTTGCTTCGCATGTTATACATTTATTGTTATTTAAAAATACAGAAAATAGTATAGGTCTTATACTATTTATTTATTGCGTGACATTTCAATGAATGATTAAATATTAATATCAATTAAATTCGTTAATTTTGTGTTATTTTTACTTCATTATAAAATATATACCTCAATCTTGAATCATCTTAAAGGCCATTCATTTTATCAAAAAAATTAAAAACTAATTTATGAGAAAAATACTGCTTGCTATTTAAATTGTATAAGTTACGATTTATTTAACTTTATTGTACTGGTAAGGCGCATGTTTCCATAAAACAACCACTAAAATACTAGAAAACCTTTTAAAAAATGCAAATAAATAAATAAAATTGAAAAAAAAAATTAAATCTACACAAAGAGAATTAAAGAGTCCATAGAAGGTGGGAGCCCTGGGCAAGAGCCCCTTTTGCCCATACCGTAATCAGGCCCTGTTTTTAACATCTTATAGAAGTTTCAATTCGTATTTAAAAATTTCCCAACTTGAAATTGAGTATATTTCAATAGCTTTAAGGGATTACGCATCGTTTCAATAAAATTTGCAAAATTCAAATAGTTTTCCTTAAATTGAACTTGTTTGATTGGTAAATATCCCCAGCGAAAATTTCGATTTATTCGAGCCGCGCGCTTGCGCATATCTCACCGACATGTGCGTCACCTTCCTTAGAGCAGCATTCGACACAGAAAGGATAATAACAAAGTCTATACGGATGATAACCACTCTTAAGAAATTATTTCCAAGTCAGGCTATTCAAGCCCTTTTTAAAGCTTCTACATGGATCTTTTTATCAGGTAAGGGTTATATTCATTTTAGTCAACAAAAATCATTTTTAAGTTGAAAGTCACATGTTAAAATAATGATTATAAACTACCGGTTATAAAGTACATTTTATTAGAAAACAAATATTTGCATTTGATTTTGAAAGACTTAATAAAAGCTTTAAGTAAAATGAAGCATTTTTGTCATTCATTCCACAATTTGAGAGTTGTCTATAATTTAAAAACGATTTCAAATGTTGTAATTTTATCTACTCAGTTACAACATGAAAAATTACGTATGAAAAATTACGAATGCAATTGCGAGTACTTTTCGGGGGGAAATTATATTTTTGATTTTTAAATTCAGAAAATGATTTTTAAAAATTTTCCTTAAAATTTATTAAAGTATTAGATAATACAAATCATTATGTTGAAGCCATTTTGTCTGAACACCTATATATGTATATACTCTTTTGAATGTTTGTGAACAAATCTCCAATAACGTTTCCTAATCACTGTTCTTTTTCTTGTCAAAAATTTTACACATTATAGGTGCCATAAATTAATATTTAATGTTAGAAGAGACAAACATGCCGAATAACTACTGAAGAAGAAGGAATGAGAAACATCAAAACCAGTTTTGAGATGTTAGCCGTTTAGTCTGGCAAGTTTTGATTTCAGTCTCGCGTTCTTCCGTAGTGATTCATTAAGTTTTAATAGAGATTTTGCTTTGTTCCTCGCTTATATACTTTCGACGACTCATGCGTTAATTGTTTTGGAGCCATTTCGACATGAATTCTAGCATTATATGATAAAGTACGCTCATACCTTCGGAGGCCAAATTTTTGATATTTTTTGTTTTCATTTATACTGCTGTGCAATTAAAAAAAAAAAATAAAACGTAAGTGCTTCAAGATTGATTCAAAGAAAACTTTTCTTCTATTGCTAATGCTATGGAAGCTAAAACAGAATTTCAAAAATATGATAAAACAAAAATATACTTACCATATAAAGATGCTAAATATATAAAAATATTAATTGTGAATTTTTTTGTCTTTTTCAATTGCATAGCAGTATTATGTACTGAAACATTATATTCATGCATTGAAACTTTTATTTATGGTGGGAGTGGTTGAAATTCGTTAATTAAAAAACTTTTTTTTTTGAAAGTACAAATCACTATTTTTTAATCTTGTTAGTTTCGTAGTGTTCGTAGATAAAGAACTTACTGGACAGACTATGAATTAGACATAATTTTCAGATAATTTATAGCTTTCTCTTAATGCATTCGTCAAAAAAGGTCAAAAATACAATTGTGCATCTTTTTTTAAAATTTGACTGTACGATATAAGACAATAATTGGACCAGTTAGGGTGTCTGCTGTTCCCTATACTTATATGTAGAGAAAGTTTGTTCAGAATTAGAAGTAAAATCTTCCTGGGCCTTGGTGGTTTCGGGGTATAAAGTGCTCGCCTGACAATGACTAGACCCAAGTTCGAATCCCAGTCATGGTTCATCGACTCGAATTCGCACTGATTACACGGGTGATGAAAAACATCAGTGTCAGACGGATAATCTTCTAGCTGTCGAGCTAACCACGAGTGATTTTCGTGGTTTTTATTTCCACTTTCCGCAAATGAGGGGAGGGTTATTGAAAAAATCCCGTACGCAGTCTAGTTTGTTCTAATGCCTAATCCAGGATTATCTTCTGAATTAGATTCAAATTTTTAAGACTACGGAGTAAAAGCACGAATAGTTGGGCTGTTTAACGCCGGTTCTAAAATAAAAGAGACAAAGAGGGTTTAAGAATTTAAAATTCGAATCTAACGCTAACAGAATGGTATGGATGGGTAAAGACACATATCATAGCTTGCTTCAGATAGGGGCCGAGCAGGGGATTCCAATGAGATCCCCGACAATGATACGAAGCACAGTCCTCACCTGAAGTATCCTCAGTGGTTGAGTCCCTTTGGCTAACCTTGGGAGGTTCTCTTCCTCTCCATGGAACGCAAATGTTGCTTAGTTCCATCAAAAAGTGAAGGCAAATTTCTCCCAATACAAGAGTTCCCTTGTCTTCTGGATTGGTTTAAAAATTAAAAGGCTACGGAGTTGAACATTAGTAGTCACAAACCCAAAAATTGGGTATGCTGTTCAACGACGGTTATAAAAGATAAAAAAAAAATAGTGATATGATTCAAATGATTTTGGAGAGACAAAAATAATTCTTTTTATTTGATTTAAAAATAGGAAATTTTGTCAAAAATTGGATTATGAAAGGTAAATGCATAAAACATGTTCATAAACCCTAATAAGAAAAAGTTATTTATGTATACATCTCGAAGAGACTTAACAAAATGCATTATATTTGGGGTAATGAAATTTTTCTCGCTTTCAAACTACATTTTAATAATTTTCTTCAAACTGTGCAAAAGCAATTTCGTGACTCATAAAATTCCTCATTTATATTTGTGGTTTCTCTCAGAATTTTTTTTAAAAATTTTATCTAAATTTATATTATTCGGGAATAGCAACTGAATTCCCGAATGATCGATACGAAAATGACGAAAAATAGGCATCAAGCTTTTTTATTTATTGATTGATATAATCAAAGCTCTAAGAATTTGAAAAATGTTGATAGCTAGCAACAAAATTTCCGGTAGCCAGTAAAAATATTAGCAACTCATTTCGTTTCTAGTTTTTTTTTTTAAATTTAAAATTTTTGAAGATGTTCATGCTTAAATATCAACATTAGAAATACTTATTACAACACAATAAAATATATTTAATTTTTAAGAGAAATGTCAAAATAAAAATAATATATTCTTAATTTCAAAATATTGTGTTTTTAAATAGAATTTCATATTTAATTGTAAAAACACATTACTTTGAGTAACGCATTACTTATTGTATACACATTATTTACTGTACAAATTACTTATTGAAAGCATTTTACTGATTGTAAAAATACATTACTGGAATTTTCCATTGCACGTAAAGTTCAGTGTGGCGTGGGTTTTTTTTAAATTTTTTTTTTAATGAAAATTTATAAATTGCGAAGCAAATTCATCAAAAACTTCCGAGTTCGCGGGGCACGAAAAATTTATGAAGAAGTTCCGAATTCACAAAATGCACATAAATTACACTATTACAGTAGGTGTAAACAATTGTTTCTTCTTAGTATCATTTTGCTGTAATAAAACTGAAAAAACCGCCTTTTTCCATTTTTTTTAAATAAAAAATTAATACGTCACTGAAATTTTGAATCACGCATTTAAGCTCACTTTTGACGGGTTCGATTTTGCGCCGATCTCTTAAATCAAAGTGGTTTTTCAGCAATTGTTACAGATTTCTGATTGGTTTTCTGAAATACCGATATTTTAAATAGGATATTATTGTGACAAGAAAATTTTGAGCAGCGCAAATCTAAAAAATTAAAACAGTATATATATATATA